TGAAAGATATCCTCAAGTACTTGCGAAGAACTAAGGATATATTTTTGGTCTATGGGGGTGCCGAGTTGAAATTAGAGGGTTTCACTGACTCTAGTTTTCAATCGGATGTGGACGACTCGAAGTCGAATTCTGGATTTATATTCACGCTTAATGGTGGTGCCGTGTGTTGGAAGAGTTCCAAGCAAAGCACGACGGCCGATTCCACTACCGAAGCGGAATACATTGCAGCGTCCGAAGCTGCAAAAGAAGGGACTTGGATAAGGAAATTCATCCAAGAGTTGGGTGTCATTCCTGATGCTAGTGATCCAGTACCGTTGTACTGTGATAACACCGGAGCCGTGGCGCAAGCTAAGGAGCCGCGATCTCATCAGAAGTCGAAGCATATTCTGAGGAAGTATCACGTGATCCGAGAGATCATTGATAGAGGTGAAGTTAAGGTAGAACGAGTCACCTCGGAAGAGAACGTTGCAGACCCCTTCACGAAGCCTTTACCAAGATCGGTCCATGAGAAACATCGAGAGTCGATGGGATTGCGGTTTATGGGTAGTTGGCTTTAGGTCAAGTGGGAGATTGTTAGAGTAGGTGACCAACAAGCCAACTTGTGGCTGTGGTCTTTCATATTTATTATTGTAATAAACAAACCTTTATTCGTAATACCAATTGGGTTTTTTCTAAACGGAGCCTGGATATAATGATAAAACACATTGGCATTCTATATCTTTGTCCCTTTGTCACAAGCATAGATATAGTCCTTACAGTTATTACAAGTACTAGTAATTGATCGTTAGGATCGTGAGATATTTACTTAAGTATTATAACTGTTAAACGTGTTCCTAGTCGAAGGGTTACGCCACTAATGAGGATATCGGCCTTTCCCATTAAGACTAGCACTTAGTGTATGTGTACTGCATCTCATCAGTAAACGGTATTGTGATATCGGCATACATAAGTGGGTGCTCGTAAGTTGACGAGTTCACTGAACTCCCTCACCCTAGAAATCTCTAAGTGGTTCCCAATAATCGAGTAGAGATATCTATGGTATAGTTGTACACCATTAGTCCTTATGACCTAGACATCACCGTGACTTCACTAGAGGACCAGCTGTATCGTGACCTGTCTCTGAGTTCCACCGAGGACCGTCCCAAGGGCCAGTGTTCGTGCAGTCCGAAATCTAGTGGGAGGTCTGTGCATTGTAGTCGGGGATTCGATCGCTAGAATAGTCTTGGATGTCCTGTGTGTTCTGAAAGTTTGTAATCATTCTAAGTCTCTGGCCAGAGCTGACTAAGTGATGATTAGAGAATTCGATTCTCTAAGTCATGCACATAAGGATTACAACACTTAGAACGATCGCACCGTCATCGAACATATAAAGAGGTCTCGATGAACCAATGCCTCTAGTTCGATCGGGACATATGAATCGAAGGGACCGTACTGTACGTTAACTATATCTGAAGGTTCTTGCAGGCACTTCATTTGTATCTAGGGAATCATGACGCGTAGTTGCTAGACGCCAATCTTGATTCGTTGGGTGATTAAGGTGAAACGAGCTTCATCTTAATCGTAACTCGAAGGGGACGAGTTTTGACCACAAAGGGTTGTGGGCCCACGGCTAGCTTACACCTGAACCATCGAGGGTCACACTGCTCGTGCACATGAGATCTTTGAATAAACGGTCAGAGATAAAATAGTTTATCTTTGCATGATTGGAAGTCAATATGATTGAATCCAACATTCGTAATTTGGAATTACGAATGAGAATAAGAAAAGGAAAAGAATAGGCGAACATGTTAGTGAACTTTCTAAATCGAGAAGTTTCCAAATTTAGAAAGTCCACTGAACTAGGGTTTCCACTTTTGGAAAGTTGGAAAACAAGAGATGGCACTCGTAATGACGAGGAAGTTATAATGATTCCGAAAATGTAATCGTTGCAATTTTTCGGTCATTGAATTGAGAGATACGAGCAAGTAAAGGAACTAACGAGCTTAAGCTGTTGGGCCCAGTCCAACTTAAGCCCGCTAGGGTTTTATGCAAGGGACTATAAATACATGACTTATAGCCCTTACACAAACACATGAAACCCTAACCCTAAAGTGGCCGACCCTCTCTCTCTCGCCCTCTCTCCCGCGCGGCCACCACCGCACCACCGTCGCCGCTCCGTCGCCGGAACCGGCCGTTCGTCGGCCGTTCCTTGTTCGGTATTCTTTCTCCTTTCTTTTTCTTCCGTTTTATTCTAACTACTTCGTGTCTAGTGCCACGATTTAGTAGATCGAAGTATACGAGGTGAAATCCGAGAGGAGGAAGACTGTAGATCGAAAAATCGAGGAGCAACGCACGAGCCGAAGCCGCACGCTGCCCCACGCGCCGTCCCGAAGCCGCGCGTACACTACACGCGCCGCCGTGACCTCACGCGCCGCTGCTGCCGTTGCACCGCTGCTGCCCCGATTCTACGGATTGGTTTCCGTAGTAATCACGAAGTGCTAATCGCTCCTACCTCACGCGTCAAGAGGTAAATATACGAAACCCTAGTTTCGTTTAGGGTTTAGTTTAAACTATGATTTCATGCTTGTGTTTGTATGATTTTATGTGATTATGTGTAATCGGTTTTTAAATCATTGCAAGCATGTTATTTGGTTTAAATTGCGAGCATGTTAATTGATTTAAGTACGGTTAAGTTTATTAGCATGTATGTTGTTTTATTTTCGCTGGAAGCGCAAAGGTACGCAATTAATTGAATTTAATTTATCGGACATGTTCTTATGTGTTTTTAAAGTCGTTTAAATCGCATAAATTTTTGTTTTCCGCTGCGTATGCGTGCCCGAAACCCAACAATACCCATGCGGGCAATTTTCATGAACTACTTAATAGCCTCTATTGTCATAGTTGTTTTAATCCGATGATGATAAAGTCGATGATGTTGAAGATTATGATAGTGATGATGATAATAATAATAATAATAATGGTGAATGAGATATTTTTTTATGAATTTAATTTAATTTATGTTGTAATATAATTTATGAGTTCATTGTTATATATGATTTTATTAAATGTAGAATAATTTGAGTTTATGTTATTTCATATAGATAGTTTTTTAAAAATTGATAACATAATTTCTAAATTATATGGTTGAAAAAAATTTATTACTTAAAAATAGATCTATAATTAACATTTAGGACATAAAATATACTAAAATTACGACAATGTGAAATGCCATGTGAGACCAAACCAATTCCCATTTCATATAAGTGGTGAAATATTATTATTTTAATATTTGGTCTAAATTTTGGTGAAATCCATCGTAGATCAAAAACATCATTTTTCCGCCAAAAATACTAGACGGGTAAAAATAATGTGCTACCGGTGGGAGGGGAACTCATTTCACCACAAAAAATGGGATTTAGTGAAAAAATGGTAAAACCAGTTGGAGGTGCTCTTAACCATGGTTGAATGCCATTGTTATATATATACAAGGTTGTAAAAAGCGGTAATCGGGTCCGATTCGGTCAGGCAACGACTCACGATTAATCGGTGCGGCGGTGATTAATCAGTGATAAATCGGAAATAAATTGGTTTTTAAAATTTAATATAATATATTTCTAAATATTATTTATAAATACTCCAAACATATATAAAAAGATATTTAAACATAGTTATATCCCCATCATGTATATATCCTAATAACATAATAAAAGTTTAATAATTATAAGATCATATAAATATCCTTATAAAATATAAATAAAAAAACATTTTTTTTTAATTTACATTTCTTCTTGAACATTCTTGGCATAGATCATTAGTTCTTTAACAATAACAATTAACATAAACAAAATAAGGCATAAACTCATATTTTCTTTTATTAAAATCCAACTTTTATTTTGAATTATAAAAAGAAAAAAAAAAAACCGATTTTTAACCGATTTTTGGCCGATTTTTGCCAGTGAGTTTGATCTGCCTTAAATGTTTGACCGCCTCAGACCGCCTAAAACCGCCTCACAGGCAAAAAACCGATTTTTTTTCAAACCTTTACACTAAAATCGTAAAGGTTTTAGACCGCCTCCGCCTCGGAGACCGATTAATCGGCCGCCTCGGCCGATTTTTAGAACAATATATATATATATATATATATATATATATATATATATATATATATCAAGCATAATAGTTGAAATATTTAACAATTATTTTTGTGTTGTTTATATTTTTGCTAGTACAATTAAACAATATTTTACTTCCTAACGAGTGATGAGCATTCAAATATGATTGCATAAATGAATCTTAAAGTAACATATGATTTATCATAATTATTGCGTGGAAATTTGAAGAAGCTAAAACTAGTACTATTAAAATAGTCATGAACCAATAAAACCAACAATAAGTAAAACATAAATACAAGAAGGCCAATTAAAAAGAGGTGAGGTTAGTCAACATTTATTTGCCATTGACTTAGCTTCAAAGTAATAGATATTATTAGATAGTAGTAGTACACCATAACCATTTCAAACAGCACATTCCCAGCTATGCATAATGACCCTTTTAACCACCAACCATAAAACTCACACACACAGTTAACACACTAGATTTCAACAATCTACACACAGTCACACGCATTTTACACACACATACATACATACATACATATTATGCACATTTCACGCACTCATTATATATAACCACACCCTCAAGATTAATTTTATATCTGCCATCTCTCACTCCTACCCTCTCTTAAACTTTGTTTAGAAATTCAACAACCCAAAAATGAGTTGCTTTTTTTAATTTATTTTTTGAACCAAATTAGTCTCTCTCTCTCTCCCACTCTTCTGTCTTTTTCTCTATAGGAATCCTCAGTTTCAGAGCTCTCTCTCTCTCTCTCTCTCCTCTCTCTCTCTCTCTCTTCATTTCTTGATTCTCTCTACATGTATGTATATATAATAATAAAATAAAAGAAATAAAGCAGAAAAGTTTGGTTCGATGCGTCGTTTTCTGATAGTCTCTGTGCTGTAGTTAATTGTTGATTAATGGGGATTAAAAATTTGGTTATTCTGTGATGCGAGAGGCGTAGCGATTGATTGATTGATTGAAAGTAGTGGAAGAAAAGGCGCATCGATGCGGGTGAGGGAGATGCACCCGCTTTGCTGCATAACGCTCGAGAGTTCCGGGATCGGAGATGGGTCGCCGGAGCCGACGCTATTGAGAACTGGGTCGGCGGTGAATTTCTCCGGCGGTGGATCTGAAGTCAATGCGGGAGGATCTGACGTCAGCACCAGCGGTGGTGGTAGTAGCAGCAGCAGCAGCGTGGCCGGGATCCTTTACAAGTGGACTAACTTCGGCAAGGGTTGGCGATCTCGGTGGTTCACATTGAGAAGCAACGGCGTCCTCTCGTACTCGAAGAGCCGCCGTCCCCCCGACGCCCAGCCACCGCCGGGGAGCGACGTGGTCCTGATCGGGTCAACCTCAGCCAACCGCCGCAGCAGCGGCAGGAAACACACCAAAACTGTCGGCATTGTCCATTTAAAGGTCGGTAACCGATAAATAATAATAAAAAAAATATATAAATAAATTTTAAATTTGAGGTGTAGAAAGAAGAGAATGGATGTTTAGGAGGAGAGATGTATATGTGGGGAGAGTGAAAGTGAAGGATTGTCTTTTATGGTGTGCAGTGTGTACTAATAGTCTCAACACTTGTACACATATAAAGTATTTTTTGCCACTATAGGCAAAAAATTGAATCCCAATTTTTTTTTACCAAGTCTCGTTACCATATTTTCTTCATGACAATTGACAGCAGAAACAATTCCAATTGCACGAATAGCCACCAAATATAGCTTTGATATCTGAGCCATGATAATGATACACTTTTTTTTTTCCCATTCTTTCTTTGCTGGCTGTAAATTATTAAAGATTTATTTCCCTTTAAAATGTATTTGAAAACATTTAACTGGGTGTGAATCTAAAGTGGGTCACATCAGCAGGTGAGTGTTTATGAGAGAAGCCAAAAACCAAATTATAGGGCAAAAGTGGTGTAACTGTAGTCTAGCTATTTTAATTTCCTTTTTTTTTAATTGATGTCTGGTCACATCAAAATCTTCTGGGGTTCATTTTTTTTTTGACTAATTTTGTTACTGTAACAGTATAAGTTTAAAAAGAAATGACAATTTCTATAATAACATAGTCGGTGGTAACACTCTTGATGTGTCCGGAAAACAAAGTAAATATTTAATTTGACGGGTCGACCCAATCCGACCCATAAGGAATAGTTGGTAGTGAAGAAGTTACTAGTTGTTGTTTATTGTAGTGTTGAAGAATATTATGAATACAGATCTCATCGTTCCGGGAGAGCAAGTCAGATGAGAGGAGATTCTACATATTTACAGCGACAAAGACACTTCATTTGAGGACAAATTCGAGGAAAGAAAGAGTGGCTTGGATAGAGGCTTTGGTATCAACTAGAATCCACAACAACACACCTATTCCTATTCTAACTAGGGAGCTTTCTGTTTCTACACAAAGGCTGAAGCAGCGGTTGCTTGATGAAGGAATTTCTGACTCTCTTGTTAGTGACTGTGAGCAGATTATGCTCTCTGAATTTTCTGGTGTTCAAGGCCAATTTCATCTTCTCTGCCAAGACCGCTCCAATTTGTTGGATACTCTCAGACAATTAGAGGTAACACTAACTTTTTTTTTATAATTTATTTACTTTTTTTTTTTTGGGCTTGAATGACATGCTTATTATGCCCATGCTTAGCCACTTGTCATACATATGTTGCTTGCTTTGGAGTTTAAGCAGCCATCATTAGCCATCATTACAGTATTTAACAATCATAATGTCCCGCAAGGGATGACGTGGCGATTGGAGCATGTGAGCATGTGTCAATTGACCCAGGTTCGAATCCCCTTGCTAACGATCGCTAGGTGGAGTTTGTCACATATGGTTAGCACTTTCATCTCTCGTTGGATACGAGATTGTAGGTTTACCTAGTGCACCTATATGATTGGTTGCGGGTTCCTTCATTAACAAAAAATAAAAAAATCACAATAAGTCGAAATTTCACTTTCTTTATGTTGCAATTGGATGGGCGTGTTTCGATTTGAGGAAATAATTTGGAGAAAGGATTTTAAATGTTTCTGTATAAATTGGATTTCAAATTCATTGTAAACTTAATTTATCTAGATAAGCTTAACGGCTTTGTTTACTATAGTGCTTAAACTTGTGTTTCTCTATTCTTGTGAAATTGCAGTCATATCACTTTTCCATACGAATATTATTTAAAGAACTCTTGTTAAAAATGCGTCACAATGTCTTACTTGAGATGGACCTCATCTACACACATTGTTCTAAGAAACATGATGTGGGGGTACAACAAATTCTGAGAATGTACCTAAATTGTTGAATTATGAATTATAGTTTTATCGAATTCTAGCTGCAACGTTTTCTAAATGACTTGCCAACTCAAGATCTCACTAAAAGCAAGTTTTCGATTAATAGAGTGTTGTGTGTTTGACATTAATGCTGTTGCACTTTACCATTTTATATCTTTATGAGTTTTACTCATTCATGGAAGGGCATATTATTATATTTGGTCTAATATATATCAAGTAACATTTTGACGATGATCCTTTCTATGGCACGGTTATCAACTCAACATGGTTGCTGATAAGTAGGTGGTGCCAAGTTCAGTACAAGACTTCTATTTCGAACTAATATGATCAATAGTCTTGGTGAATCACGTTTCTTATGATGAGAATATATCTTTCGCTATTATGTTTATAGTTGGCTGGATGATTTCCATGTTACGCTTATGGACTCTAGAGTGTAATCTTTAATTCATATAATTTTTGAAAAAAAATCATCGGAAAGAATTGCAATATGAGCCTTTTTGATGTTTTTTTTTCCAGGCAGCAAATATTGAAGCTGAAACCTCCGGAATTAATGATGCTGGATATAACTTGATGAAGCACGAGTACACAAATATTGGCCGCAGAAAATACAGTGGTACCAAATACTCTTTATTTCTCTAACTTTGTGCATATGCATACATATGTACATATATTTATTTATCCACATTTAACTTTCACGAACACGCATCGAGTTTTTTGTTCAATTTAGCAATTATGGGATGCTTGTGGGTTGTGGTTAATAAATTGTTCTTTTCTTATTTTTAAGATTCATAAATACTAACGAACCCTTGACGACATACTTCTGATTCCTGATTAAATCTTTTATACGTGCAATCACATTTTTAGTTATTCGCTTGTTGTATTTATGTTTATATAAAATCGTACCTGCAGCTGTCGAATAACCGAAGAAAAGGTTGCGACACGCTGCCGCTAAATAGAACGTCACTGATAGTCAATATGTGCATGCAATCAACTTTACTTAAATTGAATGTTTGCATTTGACACTGTTGCACCGATACATGCAGGGGCTTCATATACGAGTTGATTGAAGTGTAGTACACACACTAGTAACCTAAATGTTTAATTTCTCACCCAATAGAATTTCTTTTGATTTTCGGAAGAACATCTAAATATATAGTGTTTGATTTTTTATAATTGACATGTCGTCGCCATATGGTTACAGAATGGAGCACGACTGAATCATCAGACGATGTGGAAAAGCAAGAGCTGGAGGAAGCATCGGATGAAGAGGAAATACACTACTTTGACACAAATGAATACTTTTCCGAACCAACAATCGCTTCTTCTGGATCAGTAGCACCACAAAATCACATGGATGATAATAATACTAATAATAATAAAAATAATAATGATGATAATTATAATAATAATAATACAGATGGAAAGGAAAAGATGTTCGAGTGTAGATACCCGTATGTTGAAAGAAGAAAGAAGTTACCAGATCCAGTCGAGAAGGAGAAAGGTGTGAGTTTATGGTCAATGATAAAGGACAACATCGGTAAGGATCTGACACGAGTTTGCCTGCCCGTGTTTTTCAATGAGCCGATTTCGTCTTTGCAAAAATGTTTCGAAGACTTGGAGTATTCTCATCTATTGGATCAGGCGTACGAGCATGGGAAAGCGGTACGATCGATTTAGTCTAGTATCTTATCACTTGCTACTTTACTAGTAAAGTCTTCATAAATTCGTACGATGGTGTTATTTTTGTTGCAGGGGAACAGTCTAATGAGGATTTTGAATGTTGCTGCTTTTGCTGTGTCTGGATACGCTTCATCAGAAGGCCGCCTCTGTAAACCGTTCAATCCTTTGCTCGGTGAAACTTACGAAGCTGATTATCCCGAGAAAGGAATTCGATTCTTCTCCGAAAAGGTGCTTTGCTTACATGAACAATATATATTTCACTTGATTTCATATATTATTACAGTATTTATTTTCTCCCCTCAAGGAGTCGAACAGTAAAATAATTGGATAAAATTTCAATTTAAAATGACTAACATTCCCCTTTGAAATGCTGTCGATTTAACATATTGAGCTGACACTTGTATCATCTTTCGTTAAGGATGGTTTTGTGGATATGATTTGGTCTATCGCTAAATTGCCACCTCTGCTGCCGTCACTCCAAATAATGGTTGTCAAAGTCGAGACTTTAATTTAAATTGGACGATGACTGTATAAACGCAAAATCGGATCGTAAAACCGTACGATTTTTTGACATATTTTCTTTCCAAAAAACGGTTAATTGCAGAATAATGAATATTTTCTTAAAAAACTTACAAATCTAAGTTTTTGCTCATTTCATCCGAAATAGTCCGTAGATTAATTCCCCTTTCGAGTATTTACCATGCCCTGGTTCCGAGCTTCGTAAATACTCTTACCATGTGGCTTTCATAATTCGTATAGCATGTTTCCCTTTTTAGATGTTGTCAAAACTGAAGTTGAACCTCAATTGTGATGTGATGAGCTAGTCGTGAAATTTCAAATTATTTGTGCTTATTTCCTGCACTCCCGTCTTTACTGAGTGGTTCGATTCTTGAAAAATAGGTCAGTCACCACCCTACACTGATTGCTTGTCACTGTGAAGGAAAAGGGTGGAAATTCTGGTGTGACACTAACCTTAAATCAAAATTTTGGGGGAGATCAATTCAAATAGATCCAGTCGGAACTCTTAATTTAGAGTTCGACGACGGGGAGATTTTCCAGTGGAGCAAGGTAAGAAGAACCCTAATTCATTAAACCAATTTCATAATGATCACCTTTAATTATTCTTATTCGTTGCCGTTTCTCTTCTTACAGGTCACAACGAGCATATACAATCTAATCCTTGGTAATATATATTGCGACCACCACGGTACAATGCACATACAAGGTAACCGCCAATACTCTTGCAAACTCAAGTTCAAGGAGCAGTCTATTCTCGATCGCAACCCTCATCAGGTATTCAACTCCATTCATACTGTTGCTATATTCTCTTATTTTTTACTAGATATTTTCTATTTAAAAAAAAATCAAAATAAATGGACAGGTTAATGGGTTTGTCGAAGATGCGACGGGGAAAAAAGTAGCTCAATTATTTGGAAAGTGGGATGATAGCATGTATTTTGTTAATGGAGATGGAAGTAGCAATGCGAAAGATAGGTCCGATTCATCATCTTTATTGTGGAAAAGGAATAAACCACCTCCCGACCTTACTCGCTATAATTTAACTTCATTCGCCATTACGTTGAACGAATTAACACCAGGACTCGAGGTATATATATATTTATAATAATTGTCCTCTAATTAAAGCTGTAACTGATTGCACGTATTTGTATGACATGGATGAAAGGAGAAGCTGCCACCTACAGATTCAAGACTGAGACCAGACCAACGTCATCTCGAGAATGGGGAATTTGACAAGGCAAATGTCGAGAAGCTTCGACTCGAAACACGTCAGAGAATGGTATTTTGTGAAAAAAAAAAATCCTTGAATGAAAACTCTAATATTTTTCTTAAAATTGATGACTGATTAATAAAGAGGTAAAATTTTGTTGGTAAATTACTCTCAGTCTCGGAAAATGCAAGAACATGGTTGGAGACCAAGATGGTTCGAAAGAGAGGGTGAAGAAGGACCCTTCCATTACATTGGTGGTTATTGGGAAGCTCGAGAAAACGGGAAGTGGGATGGATCTCCTAATATTTTTGGTGAGATTAGTGAAGACCTCGTCAATTCCGTTCAAGCTTCATGACCTTAAATAAGGTATCCCGACTTTTTTTCTCTCTTACATATGTTTTTAGCCAATGTTTAATTGCCGAACATAGATAAATATTTAATCAGATGTTCAATTACTTCACAAAACCAAAGGTAATTGCTATTTTTAGCATTTGCAACCACATTCCTTCTCATGAAGATGCTTTTTAAACGGAAGGAAGTAGCAATTCCGATTTTTGAATAATTTGATGGTGATTTTAGTCTATTGTTGCGTTTAGTTATATATATCTCTTCAAATTCTTCGATTGTGTGCTTCATTTGATGCTTAAAATACAGGAAAGAGAAACGCCTCGCGGATTGCTACCAGCATGCTGTAAAACAATCATGGATCTAAACGATTCATAATTATCTCTTCCAACAAGATCATCATTCGACAAATTTAAAAACCCGGAGGAGATTTGTATTCTACATAATTTGTCCATCTTAGATAGCAGGAAAAAAGAAAAAAAAAAAAAGCACATAAAATACCTTCCAACGTCACGATATCGCCCATTCATTCAAGTTCCCAGTGTCCGTAGCTGTGAGCTAAGTTTTCAGTCATAGGCTCAGTTATTTGTTATTTTTATTCAAAATAAACATATAACTCTTATGTATAATGTAATATACAGGCCTCAATAATATCAATCTATAAACCCTTTTTGCCTGTGAATCTGTTGACTGATTCAAGAAATTGATGTTTAATAGTTGTTGTGAATTCTCGTATGTTACAAGGAAATTGTGGTCGTATGGTTGTGCTTAACTTTCGTACCGTTTAATGGAGTTAAAAGCATGTTTGGGTAGTGATCTAATGTTGGGTAACATTTTACACTATCGAGTGTCGACTTTGATAACATTTTGCAATGTTGGGAAGAGTTTGGGGACTACTAGTATTTTATTTTGGGAAAAGATATTTTCTGAGAAGAATTTGAGAATAAAAGTAATGTTTGTGTATATTTTGGGAGGAGATAAAAAACACTTGGTAAATTATGACATAATACAAAGTCAGGGATTCTAATATGTACGATGAAGATATCAAGCGTAGGCAATTTTCCAGGTCTCCTCTTGATATCGTAGGTACACCTCTTTATGTTAAAACCTTCGTAGTAATGACTCACTTTCCCCACCCTAACTACTTAATTACGCAATTTATTGAATACTTTTAGATGATGGAAGATAGATGCACTTCTACTTATGTTTGAGTAGTATGTTGTATCTCTTTTATAGTGGAGATGAGTCGGCTACAAATGCATGAGTTACAAGATGTCAATATCCAACCATCACGGCCTTTCTAAGTAACATCTTATAACACTTACTAACATTAAATTATCTATTAAGTCAACAACATTTAACTCCTTAATTGAACAGTCTAAAAATAAAAGGAGGTTAATCCTAAAATATAAAACATTACAAATGTAAATGTAAAAATAGACAAATCTATTTAATAAATATTTATTTAATCAGGGTTGTTTGAGATACCCCTTAAACCTAATTTTAATACGGAAAATGATAAGGGATTTTTTTTTTTTTTTTTTTTTAATTAGAGATAACCTATTTTGTGTCTGTGCTGCCCAAAAATCCTATTTCTCGTTTCATCCAACTCCAACACATAGTCAAACTAACTCCAAAATGGCCAACCCCGTGTCTGAAAGAATCAATGACACCGAATCCGTGATAAGTGATAATAAAATATTTCCGCAATAATCGGGGAATGAAAATATTAGCGGCAAAGTTATTAGGAGTGTTGTCACCACCCATGGCAACACTTTCCAATAATTTTTTAAACTGAGTCAGAAAGGACATAAGTACCATGATTTCAGGGGTGATCCGGAAGATCAATAACGGAAGAGTATGAAGATAATCCGGAAGATCAATAACGAAATGTTAATCTAGGAGGATGGAGTAGATCAAGGAGGGTTAAGGTATAAAAGTGAAGGAACCAAATTGTCCCAATTTTCCAATTTCTTACAAATCATTCTACCAAAATCCACTTTCATACCCTTTCCCAGCTTATACATAAAAACGACACGAGGTTGAGTCAACACACAAGTATTTTTGGAGGGGACTCGATTTGTAACGATGAGTCTGAATAGCACAAAATAAAATGCAGTAACCTGGGAGACTTGAAACATTTATGGAGTAGATTAGCCAGGATTTGATATGATCCTAGAAAGAGTCATTGAAAATATGTTCATCTATTATTGTATCGGTATTAGAGTACTGTACTCATTGATAACAATAGGTATAGACATAAATGTCATTTCTAACCAATTTTTTTTTTTCCATATTGCAAGAGTTTTCTATACACGAACTTCTATACTATATATATCTGTATCTATATCTATATCTATTTATATCTATACTATCTATAAAATTGAGAATCATAGGAAAGTTTCTTCCATTTTTATTAAAATGATTGATATTTTAGAGTTCATCATTTTATTGTAGTACCCCCCCTTAAATAGGCGATAAACCGGCCGGTTTATCGGAATTTCATTTATTTAGAGGAAGCATTTTGTAAAGAATCTCTTTTTAAATTTAAAACTTGAAGAATTAAAAGCAAAACCATACTAGAAAATTTAGAACACTTATAATTTTTAAAAACAAGCTTTGAAGAATTTTAGTCGATTTCAATTTTATTTTGTATTTTGAAATACGTTTTAAAGAAAGAGTTTATTCGAATAAAACATTCGATATTATAGGTTCGAAATAAGAATAGATAATAAACCTATTACGAGCCTGTTTTTTGGTGGCATCAAACCACCCTTTCAATCCTAGTTGGATACCGGCATACCGTATATGAGTTGTTTAGAATCCGAGAACTCCATCAATCTTTTAATTTAAAAAAAAAGCACGTGATGTGCATAATTTTGAATTAAATGACCATGATACAACCACATAATTCAACATTCGTATAAACAACACAAATATAGATCACGATGACTCATTAATATAGATTATACAGAGACTATAGTAAATACATAATATTAACCAAAAATCTTTTAACTAAGATCGACACTTTCCAACACACTTGACAAGACACACACGCGCGCGCGCGCGCACACACACACGGCACACATAAAACACACACACATATGCAATGCAATCCAAGATCAATCATTGACGAAGTCATTATTAGCCAATTTATGCTTAGAAAGTAATATCATCTTTACTTTCTCTTTAAACGAGTTTCTTACATCTTTAACTCATTTAATTAATCTCAATACATTCCAACAACACTTTAAAATAATTCAGGTTGTAGTTTTATGTTCATAATCCCAAGTTTCACAATTTATAATTCCAAATTCCAAGATATAGCAATTAATACATAAAAACTCAATAAATGGCACATAAACAACCAAAATTCAGAAATAATAGTAAATGGTATCCAAAAATTCTCAAATTAAATTATAAGACCCTTTGCAAGACTCTAAAATTATAATATAGTTTTACAAAATATCAAATTTTTAATAATTTTAAAAGCTAGAAAATTTATTTCTTTACCATAAATTGATTTTCTTTCATAGATACCTTCTAATTTCAGCAAGAAATTTAATTTTTTTTACATATATAGCCGAAAGAAAAGGAAGAATAACTAAGGGAAGGATGATTTAAAGATTGATGCCAAAATTGAGCCAAGCCACTATTGGGATAAATACCTAACACGCAAGTGCACGTATCGCAAACAAGTAGTAAAAGTGGACTCGTGAGAGTCGGATGTTGATCCCACAGGGAATACTCAAATTATCTAATCCTAAGTACCAAATTCTAACAACTATGATATTTATCCAGCATACGCAAAGTTGTCAAATTTAATCAACTAAATAATTAAACTAATTATAAAAACAAATAAACACGATAAATTATCAATAAAAACGGATCTAGGATTTTATCTTCCCCCTATGCAAGAATTGCTCACCCAAAACCCCTCAATTATAAAATATATGATTCCTGATTATTAACCTGAGACACTATATTAATTATAACCCGCTGTCGCGTGTATTATAATTCTATTATCCAAAAACCAAATTACTATATGTCTATGCAATCCGATCATCAATAAAGCATTAAAACATAAGTCTCAACAATGATTACCTAAGGTAAATATCTGTATGTCTACGATACCACATGCAATTAACACACTAATGCGGTGAAAACTACTCGAAGGTTCTTTTACTTAACGTCTAATTATCAAAATAACTCTGCCGAGTGAATCCCAATAATCACAGATAAAGCACATAAATTGATCAGGTTCATGCACTAACAATCATAACAAGTAGAAGAAATAATCATAAAATCATAATTGCATAATCTCAAGAAAACGGGTTCACCATCCCCACATAGGGTTTCAACAAAATCCTACACTAAAAACATAGCTACTCATGTTCTCTACGAAAAACATAATAAAAGTAATAAAAGTCATAGATTTAGAAAAGATAGATGAAAGAAGAATTATGATGAAGATTCGTTAGGTCTTCGTCTTCGTTTCTCCGTTCTCTCGCTCCTCTTCCTCTAAGATTATGTTCCAAAAGTCCCAAATTCGTGCTTGGTCTTTGCCCTTAAATAGATGTCTCAACTTGGTAGAAGAAGTAGGTTTCCTTGTGTGATTAAAAGTCCAAAATTGCTTCTAGCGTGTTTTCACACGGCCCCGCGAGAATCAATACAATTCTCACACGGCTGCGTGCGAATCCCCGAAACTTTCTGCCCAAATTCTGCAGTTGGCACGGCCGCGCCAAAAATCGGCTAAATCTCGCGCGGCCGCGCCAGATCAATTTTCAGCCTCTGAATGTTTTCTTCTGTTTTTGCCCCTTTTTGACATTTTTTCGCTCGTTTGATCCTTGAAACTTCCAAATCTTCAAATTGTACCTAAAATACAATAAATCACTCATTAATTACCATTAAATCAATAAAAGTATACAAAAATCCTCGTAAGAAAGTATACATTGAGTGTAAAATATACACTCAACAACTACTTTGATGGTGAAGGAGATGGTGTGTGATTCTAAAAGAGAGGTGTTATTTTCTTCCATGAGTGGCAAGTATTTTTGATTGTGTTCTTGGCATATTCCAAAGCTAGGGTTAAATTGGGGACCCTCATACTGATTTTTGATTGTATTTGGAAAACAAGAAATGAGGTGGAAGAAGAAGATGGCTGATG